GAATCTGAAAATCTAGCATGATGGCTGCAGCTGCTGCCGTCTTTCTGTGTGGGACGGCACTACCAATGATGCAGCAGAGAGCTGTCCAGGGAAGGCCCGCCTCCGACAGGGCTGGGGGAGTCAGTTCCAGGGAAAATAATTAATTCTTTAGTCCTCTGATTCCTATTAGGATAGCGCCTCTCTCATTTGTTATCTTTAAAGGAAGTGAAGTGGGAGCTATCAGAAAAGTGGTGCTCCCTCCTCTGCTTTTTGGGAAGTTGGGGGGAAGCAAAACATTTTCCACATTTTGATTTTCACTGGAAATTTACTCAGGAAGAGATATGCCTCTGTAGGCCACTCATACCCCTAGTAGTTCGTATTTGCTGTTTTACAGATCTGACCAGAAAAGAGAATCATTGATTTTCCTGGGAAATAATGAAAAGCTATCAACACATTTACGCCTACGTGAATTTAGAGTGCAAGCAGGAGAACGTTACTCTAATAGATGAGGTGGCCCTTCTAGAAAATGATTCACTCCAAAACCAAAGGAGAAATGAATTTTAAAATTTGAGAGTCTGAAATATTAATTTCATAGCCTCTAAATCTAGAAATTATTGAATTCTCAGAATGCTTGGGCCAGAAGAAATCTTACAAATGATACGTCCAGTAGATTTTAACCAAATTTAGAGCAAGAAAGCTTTTTTGCTCAAATAAGATGTTATGGAAAACTTTTAACCAAATAAAAACAGAACTGTTCTGAATGAAATGAGGCAAGATCGCCAAGCCTGATACACGTGGCCACTTTCTAGTGATGCTCCCACCGACCTCACATCTCCAAGGAAACCGAGGCTCCAGAGAACACAGTTGAAATGGCACAAATATCGTCCAGCTGAAGGCCAAGTAGACAGCGCCAGCACTGAGATTTGAACTCAGGCCTTCTGACTCCCATGTTCTTTCCTTTAAAAAACCCCTGGGACAATGTTTCCTTTGATGAAATTTGCAGACCTCCCTTTGCCTCATTCTCAAGCACTCACACCTACAGCCCACAGCAGCTTAAGGGGCAGCCCCTTTGCTAACAGCTGGGATTACTCTGTTCATGAGGGTCTTACCTTCCAGGATCAGCTACGCAAGGCATTGGGGATACACTGGTTCCAAGACACTGACAAGGAACAGAGTGCAGTGAGTTTTAAAAGGGGGAAACCCAGAGATAGCCAGAGGAGTGAAAAGATAAAGACATGGATTTTGAGCAAATTTTAATTAATCTTGGAAACTCCTGGGGCATGCGTTTGTCCTCTTCTTCTAGGGCCTGGATATTTAAAGAGAGAGAGCCAGAACAAATCATCCTTTCTCTCTTCTACCTCTTCCTGTCTCCTCTACCAAAGCACTGTTCCAAATCCTTCAAGCCAATGGCTCTCAAACTAGTTCCAAGGTTAAAGTCTAACAGCAGCATGCATTTGCATAAAAATTAAGATTACTGATAGAATTTTTTCAAACTAAAGTTTATCTCCCCAAAATACTCTTTCAATCTTTGATGTCTACTACTGCTTGTTTACCACTGAAAGCTAACAGATGACAAAATTAATAAACCTATAGCAAAGGACTATTTATGCAACACCTAGAAACAACTGAGTCTGCTCAGCTTAGCAGTTTGTTTCTTTGTAGACTCGCGGGCTCACAGCTTTACGCTACATCCATTCATACAGTACAGGTTGTCCTATGTTTAGTGGAGATAATTGTTCATACTGCATGTAACAAAAAAAGAATATCATTTTTATGCTTATACACGCTTAGGCTATTTCTGCATCATTGCCTAGAAGCTGGTAATAGTGGTGGTATCTGAAATGATAACAGATGTTGGAGTAAGAGGTGGGAGGAGACTTACTTTTCATTGTTCATCTTTGTTTACAAATATAAATTTTACCACGTGCACCTTCTCAGTTTTGAAAGACATTAAAATTGAAATACATGTTCTTTAAATAATCTGATGCTGGGGACTCACCTCACAGATCCTGATTTAATTGGTCTGGAACACGACCTGGACACTGGGGTTTTTAGAAGCTGCCCAGGTAATCAGAATGCTCAACCAAGACTAACAACCACATTTCTAAGCTATGACCAGAAGCTCTTTTACTATCTTATACTGATAACTGTAAATTATTTAAGGCAGGCATTCCTAGTTTTTTAGAGCAGGGAAGTGGTCCTTGAATGTCAAAAACCTTCACAGCCACACCACAGTGATCTATTTTTGGTTATGTGTTGATTGAGAAGATACCAAATATCCAAAGTTGCTATGTATCAATCTCAGTAAAATTAATAAACATTTGAAAAATAGCAGTAGGTGTAAAAATAGAGGTGAGACACAATACCAATGCTCTTTACAGGTAATTCCACATTCTTATATCTTCTTATGTAAGATTTTCACCTCTACATGTGTAAGTGCCCTTTGCAAAATCCCTGGCTCCTCCCCAGAAGTCCACAGTCTACAAAGCAGGAATAACTGAATTTAGGAATTGCTTTTCCTGGATAGAACTGTACAGAGACATTTTGATCTCCTGGACAGTAGACAGCAAACAGCAAGTATTTTCATAGTGTTGACTTGAGATGTGCTTGCTTGTTGTTACTGATCGGCTTACATTTCTACCTGTGTCCCAATATTCTCTAGAACACAAAGCCTGCCATTTACAATCTTATTTACAAGCTTTGCCTAAATATGCACCAGGCTTTTCTCTCTTGGTGATTTGACTGGGGTCGTTTGCTTTGTTTGGAACAACAGCAGAGCCTGAACCCGTTCTCTGTCTGACCCCTGCCTGCCTCCTCCATCATGATGATGCCTCCACTCAGTCTAGCTTTCAGTGAAAACCCCTCCCTGTACCCTTTGTTAATACTGTGAGGTGGCCACTTTGATTGTTTAAAGCCAGACTGACTTTTTGAAGGTAACGATTAGGTGATCTCCTGGTTCCCTTGTGCTGGGTGTCAACGGAGAAGTTCTATGAGGATTTTTCACGGTTATTGGCTGCTTTAGGGAACCCAGGGAAGCTTTGGATCTCTTTCGTAAAATAACCATGTGTTATGAGACCTCCATCAGAAGCTCACTCAAGGTAGGAAAAGTGCCAATCCTGAATGTTCCATGCTGTTATCCCAAATCTTGTGGCCATGGATTACATGTGTCTTTTTTTCATCTCCAATCAATAATCAAGTTTCATTCAACCAAAGTTAACATATGCTAATCTAAGGAAAACTATTTGATATACTGGAGTTTTCTTGGATATATTACCTCACCATGGTACTTGGCATCATTTTTACTAAGCCTTACATATTTTCCTGTCAGTTCTGAACATTATGGATTATTTCCCCCTCCCTTGTGAATATCTGACTCTAATGTTAAAAATCATTAAAGAATTACAAAAGCATTTCACCCCTTGAACGTGCAATAAATATACAGTTCAGGTTCTAGAAACTGTGCAAGCAAGCAGGACTCCAGCCATCAATCAACCTGTGGTATTTATTTAATTGTATTTTAAAGGCATAAAACTATAATAGAATAAAATAAAATTGTATTTTAAAGGTGGTAGCTAGAAAAAGCCTGTCTCACCTAAATTGTCCCATCATGGTTAACTAGTAGTGCCAAAGTGTTCTCAGAATCTGCTTCCAAGCCCTCGGGAAGCCTGGCTTGTTCTTTCATTGATTTTTTTCCCCTGGCTGTTCCTTAGTCTTCCTTGAGAACTTCTGTCTTATGATAAACTTCTTCCCTCTTTCTTTCTTTATATTCTTTTTCATATAATCATAAAAGTAATCCATGCTTATTATAAAGCATTTTGGAAGAAAACTATACATTAAAAATACCATTAAAATGACCATTATAATTGCTTCCCGGCTTTTTGGCTAAGATGAAGTGTAAAATCACCATTACATCCTCCTACCATTCAGAGATAACCACTCTTAACATTTGGCTGCATTTCCTTTTCTCTTTTCTCCATATAAATGTGTGTTTACATAAGTGTGTGTCTGTACATACAGACATACATTTATAAACAAAGTAGCATACAGTGCCCATATGCATTTTCGAGTTCTGCTTCATTTTCTTAACATCTGTGATGAGCATTTGTTTCCCCATCCCCCACGACCTTTCTTCTCTCTTCTCACATTCGTGGCTGCAATTTCAGATCTCAGTTCCTCTCTTTTGGTTTATTGCAGCAGTCCCCCTACTGGTAGTTTTCTCAGTCCTCACCTTCCTCCACCTCTTATCTATCCTCAAGGCTGCAGCTGGAGGTATTTTTCTACAGTATGGTACCAATCACATCACTGCCATATTTTAAAGCCTTTGGCATGTTGCCTCTTTGCCCATCGTGTAAATCCAAGTGCCCTTTAGTTTCCCGCATGACCCTCGCCTCCTTACTCAGGCCTTTCATTCATGTCCAGTTGTTCTCTCCCTCCACGTCTTCTGTGCTGTTGCAGCATTTCTCAAAGTGGGGCCCACAGACCACCTGCTTTAGAGTCACAGAGGAACTTGTGAACAATGCAGAATCTTGAGTTGTACACTAGACACCCTGAATCAGAAGCTCTAAATGTGAGTCCCAGGATGCTGTATTTTAAATAAGTTTTCCAAGTAATTTTTCAATACCCTACAACATGAAAACTTCTTTGCTAAAACCATCTAATAGAAAAAAAACCAAAACTGACTGTTTAAAGGCATTTCCCATCAATGACATACCTCATTTGATCTTCACTGCAATGCTCTGAAGTCAGTTTTACTACTATTCCACTCATTCCACAGATGAGGAAACATACAGAGGAACCAAAGAGATTTGCACAATACACTTAATCAGTAAGGTCTGGAGATAACATTCAAGTCTGCTCTTTTCAAATCCAAATTCCATGAACTGTCCACTCTACAATACCAGCTTCCCTCTTTGCTCTGTAAAGAGTGACTGTGTTTTATGAGCCTTTGGTAAATGTGCTCATCCTTCAAGGCTGTAGTATGTATTGTAGGTGCCCTTACCACATCCCCACCCCGCACTCACCTTTCCAGTACAGACGGTTGGTCAGCTTTCTACTGCCAGCACCTATGATTCTCAGCTTCACATCTTTCTCTTGGCCTGAGCAAGGAAGAGAAATTCCAGGGAATTAGAGCCCCCAGGAGCGAAGACATGGGGACTAGAGGTAAATACTCCAACCTCCTCACCTAGGGTGAGGTGAGGGGACTCTGAGATGTGTTTGACAGACAACCTCGGAGATGTTCACAGTGATGCACTGCTTCATGAAGCTTTCTTTCACCTCCTTCCTTCCCTCCCCTATCTCCTATCATTCTCCTCCAGTACTTCCTGGAGATCATCTGCAAGTGGACCACTTGAACTCACATCTTCATCTCAGGGTGTGCTTCCAGGGAACCCAATTTAAGACAAAGACCAGCTTAAACATGGCTTTTGAATTTCAAGTGATAGAAACATAAATCATACAATGACAACAACAACAACAATTAATGTACATGTAGCTGAGAAGTCCAGGTGCAGACTTGGCTTCTGATATGGTTAGCTGCACACATGCAAAGGATACCTGCCTTGCCATGGCTCTTCCTTTCTGACTCTGCTCCTCTCTCCCCACTTTGATTTTCTTTTCTTTCCTTTATATGGATTTATGCTCAGGAAGTGGTGCTGTGCTGAGCCTGAGTCAATAGGAAAACTGTGCCCCTCCCATTATCCATAATTTAATGAATTTTTAATGCCTGAATTTTTTCCAGAATTATATTTTTAAAATAATATAGATGTGCTTACTTCCAGTAAAATAAAATTATAATAAGCTATTTTCACTGTACATAAAATATTTATACTTAAAACAATATTGTGAATTTTAATACACTTACTTTTCAATTCTTCAGTATTTTTAAACTAATGCTCTGGGAAAAAAAAAACTAACCATAAAAAACTTACATAAAAACATGCATAAAAGGGTTTTTTTTTTTGCCACCTCCAGTTCCAATATGGCTTCATACAACACTGTCTTTATTTAAAATGTTGACATTTTGTTCATCATGGATTACTTTTATTAATATTTATTTCTAAAATGTAAATTTAAAATACTATATTTCTGAGGGGTTTTTTTTTGTAGATTCTTAAATTTTGTGCCCAAGGTGAGGGTCTCACTTGCTTCACTCTAGTCCCAAAGTATGTGCTGGAAATTTTGGCCATTGAGAACTCTAGATTTAGATGATCTTTTCAGATTACTGTAGAAAAAGGGAGGTGCCCTTTTGCAGCATTCTTTTCTTATTACTGTTGTTAAGCATCAAGGAGGCACTCTCATTGGCCCTGCCTAGGTTCCATTTCTAGCTCTTCAACCAATAACTGCCATCAAGGAGATGAAATACCATGACTTGTAAGGATATGATGTGAGAAAGATGTCATGATTGATAGTCCTACTGAAGCCGCATGGGATTAGGATGTAGCAGTTTGGAAGTGAACTGGAAAGATGAAAATTATATGTGCATTATATGAAACTTTTCCAGACTACCTGCTTCACCTGCCTTCCTATAAAAATTTGATACATACCTGACATAAACATCACACTGTATTATATTCAGTTGTTTATTCATCTGTCTCCATAGATAGGCTGTGAGTTTCTCAAGGGTAAGATCTGATGAGATGTGTTGAAAGGACTAAATGAGGTAAAGACTGTACAGTGCTTAGCAAAGTACCTGACATAATGCATGCTTAATAAGTATGACATTGTATACTCTTTTCTTTAAGAGCAAATGGACATTATTTGTTGAATAAACAAATTGTCACACAGTGTGTTTTTATCTGTGCAAGTAGCAAGTCTCAGGCCTAGACAATACATTTTAAAATAAGGAGGTGCTCCTTGCTCATGACTGGTTCAACACAATCAGCCACATCCCCTGACTGCAAGATCTCTCCAACGGCTGTGTCCTTCTGCAAGCTCACTTGCTCTCTCAGGTGGTTAGCAGCCCAGCCTGCTGTGGACAAGGCTGCTGGGCCTCACATCTAAGACTCTTGCTCTCAAAGTCTTCTCTGTAATATCTAGGTGCCCACAACTTGAGTGCATTAGGCAACCAAGGAGCTAGAATCTCCCATAATCAGGATAGTATCTGAGGTTCTTCCCATAGAGCTGGTTATTCCCATGAAAAGATTTCAGCGCTTGACTCTCTCCTCCTGAGATGTAGACTTCTCTACATGAGGGCCAGAACTATTCAAATGGTCATATCCCCCTCAAGACCTCACTGTCCATCTCCTCCCTTTCTTTTGAGCTCAGTATTTACCCTGCAACTCCTCAGAATTCTCTGCACTGGTTCTATTAACAGACACGACTAACATATTACATTAAGCCAATTTCCCCAGTGGAAGTAGGCATCCCTTACTCATGGGATTGCTCCTTACACAACCAGGCAGCCCCCTGCCTTGGGTTACTCTTTGGGGGCAGAGGAAGAAGTCAGTCACCTGGGATTTTCCATGACAAGTCCTGCTAACCATCTTCTTTATCAAAGGGAGCTGTATTTTTCTAGAATTTGCCATTCCTTGGGAACTCTCAGATGTATGGTGAGTGAGGATATTTAAAGAATCAGTTGTATTTCTGTATGCTAAAAGCCAACAATCAGAAACAGATTTAAGAAAATAATCCCACTTACAATAACAAGAAAAGTATGAAATCATTCAGGATAACTGATAAAAGTTGGGCAAGACCAATATACTAAACACTAAACATTGCTGAGAGAAAGCAAAGAAGATCTAAATACATGGAGATGTGCAATGTCTTTGTGGATTGAAGACTCATTATTGTTGAGAGTCAATTTTCATCAAACTGATCTACAGATTCAACATTATTGTTTTCAAAACTCCAGAACTGTTTGCAGAAATTTAAAAGCTGATTCTAAAATTCCTATTGAAATGCAAAGGAACCAGAATGGCCAAAAAACTTTGCAAAAGAGAACAAAGCTAGAGAGCTCACACTTTCTGACTACAAAAGTTATTATAAAGCTACAGTAATCAAAATAGTGGGTGGTATTTGCATCTCAAGAGACAAAATGATCAATGGAACAAAACAGAGAGTAAAGAAATAGGCCTATTTACATACGATCAATTGATTTTCAATAAAGGTGCAAAGACAATTCAGTGGAGAAAAGATATTCTACTCAATGAATGATGCTGGAACAATTAGATGCAAAAAATAAAATATGAACTTCTAAGCATCCTCACACTATATACAAAAATTAACTTAAAGTGGATCATAGACCAAAATGTAAACATTAAAACTATAAAATTTATAGAAAACATAGCTGATAAACTTTGTGACTTTGAGTTAAAGATTTCTTGGATACACTACTAAAAGAACAATCCATAAAATGAAAAATGATAAGTTAGACTTAACCAAAATTTTAAATGTCTATCTACTCTAGAGGATATCATTAAAAGAATAAACAGACAAACTTCTGTGGGAGAAAATATTTGCATTTGAAAGGCATATATCTGATAAAGGGCTTGTATTTATATATATATATATATATATATATATATATATATATATATGTAAATCTCAACACAATTATGCTGAGTGAAAGAAGCCAGATTAAAAAAGGATTCCAATCATATAAATTTCTAGACAAGGCATACTAATCTACAGTACTGAAAGGAATCTGGAATTGGAGGGTGGGGTGGAGAAGAGGGAATGGAGGGAGTGAAGGAGGGATAAAGTTAGTAGAAGGAAACTTTCAGGGGGGGGAGGTGATGGGCATGTTCATTATCTTAATTATGGTGATGGTTTCCCAAGAGTAACATATGCCAAAGTTGTACTGTGCACTTTAAACATGTGCAGTTTATGTCATTTAACCTCAACCAAAGTGTTTAAAATGAACAAAAAACCACACACAGCATTCATCTTAGAATGTTATATAGCAGCTTTCTCTCCTTTTCAAAAGTTTTGATATCTCATACATACTATTAGCATACCAATTAGTTCATTTAGTTCATTTGCCTTCAGTTTATAGCAGGACTAAACATCAACTAATTCAACTAACTGTGTTATTCTTGAATATGAACTCCAGGAAGTCTCAGAGAGGTGACTGACTCAAAATTGGGAATCACTGTTGTTTCTTACTTAAATAATAAGAAAAGCCACATCTCCTCCCTATATTCAAATGCCACTGTTGCCTCCTTCCTTCAGAAGTAGAGTGCTGTAAGCTCTTTCTTCAAATCATTTTAAAATCTACTCAGGTCATTAGTTCTCACAACCCTGAGAGAAGTCTAAATCAGTGCCCTCAAGTGTGGTTCGCAAATGTTTGCCCATCCATACAAGGTAAGTACAAAAACTGAGAATAAGTGTAGAACAATTTGAAAGAGTAATTTTACATCTACTGAATCTAATAATAAAGTATTGAGGCTTTCTTTTGTATTTTTTTCAACTTTTTTAAGTTATAAATTATTTTAATGAGGAATATATGGCATTTCATTTTGCAAATGTTAAACTGAATACTGGCATAGAAAAAATACTTATTGCTGTAAAACAAAAAGATAATCTTTTTAAAAAAAACATGTAAACCTTCTAAATTTCATATAATAGGAAGGATATATTTACTAACATAGTAACAGAGTAAGGAATAAATTCAGCACACTACAAAGGTCAGGAGTGCTGGGTCTGGCCTCATATTATTGGGGTTTCAATTCTGCCTCTCCCACTTGCTAACTGTGACGTTTGGAAGTTGCGTACTCTATGCCTTTTTATTAACTGTTCAATAATAATATTACAGTAATCACCATTATCAAATCTGCTTTACAGGGTTTCTATGAGTATATGAAAATTGCTTGGAAGAAAATCTGACACATAGTAGATACTCAGTAAAGGTGCTATCAGTTAATAATGTTTTTTAACATGTCACATCGAGAGGGCAATAAAATATCCAGATTCCCTTGGAACATTAAACTGTTCCAATTATTTGTGACTTTGAGTTAAAGATTTCTTGGATACACTACTAAAAGAACAATCCATAAAATGAAAAATGGTAAGTTAGACTTAACCAAAATTAAGTTAGAGTCTAAGTTAGAAGCTGACCTTTTCAGAGGCAGAGGCTGTATCGCATCAATCTTGGCACCCTGGTATCCACCCTAGTGCTCAGCGTGTAACTGACACTGGACAAAGACGACCGGAGCACTCCTCCCCCAAATATAGACCCACACGGCTCTCCCTCCCATCCGACCTCAACTTTCAAATCCTTGCCTCAGAGGTACCTCCAGGGACCACTCAGTCAAAAGCAGCCCATCATTCCCTGGCACTCTCTGACCCATTACTTGGTTTCTTTTCCTCAAATCTCTTGTCACTATCCCAAATTATCATTTTCTTTATTGGTTTACTTGTCTATGTTTTTTCTTCCCACTAAAATATAAGGTTCATAGACTCAGGAAACTTGTTTGTATTTTTATTTGCTATTTCACCACATCAGTGCCCAGAAGAGTGTTATCTACTGTTCTTTTTTTTTTCAATTGTATTTTAATGATGTATCAATTCATAACCAATGGAAAATTATAAGAAAACAAAACAAAATCTAAGACACAAAACTGGTCCTTCACCATGGATAGACATGGGTTTAATGGGGGCATACTCGCCATTTCTACACATATATAAACTGAGCCACAGGGCCAGTCAATGACTTGCTTAAAGCCTAACAGGTGGTTCTGCCATGGGACCAGCATAAAATCGAGGTCTCTGGATCCTGGACTTGATTTCTTTTTTCTCCTCTGGCTGCAGAATCCCCTGCCTCTAGCAGGATAATGCATTGAGCTTCTTCAATCGTATAGTTGTAAAACTTTTTGATCACAGGTGCCCAACAACGTGCCCTTACTCTGAATGTTTCCCCTCGCCACGGCAACAGCTGACACCATGAAAGTTGTGCTGAGACAGTGGGGTTCTATCCCTGACTCCTGAGCAAGGCCAGGATTTTCATTAGCCCTGGATTTGCCTAGCTAAGTAAACATGATTATTTGGTTTTAATATATTAGGCTTTGCTGTTCAGAACTAGATTAAACTGTCAATCATCTTCCTCATATTTCATATTGTTTCCTCTGGGTAAGGGCATGTGTGATGTTACACATGTCTCACCAATTAAACAGCCCTCTGGATTGAAATCTGTTCATAACATATAGCAAGATGTCAAATTAATTGTACTGAAATAATGAGTTAGCACCAAATGCTAATTAAATATTGATGAAAGTCATACTTTCAATTATCTTCATTATATCCCCATGTTTTATGTAGGCATTAAATGCTTGCAGTACAAGTAGGTCTGGTAATTAGTTGTGCACTATAAAAAAAAGTCCGAGTTACTGTCCTCCATATTAAAAGCACTTAGAAACCACTTGGAAAATGTAAACTCTGAAAAGAGGCAGTATTTTTTTTCCTTAATATGTGTGAAATTCTATGAATTTTGTACTTCCTGTTTATAGTATCAGATACTTTTTTTTTTTGACTGGGTGGATTAGAAGTCGGAAGGCCCCTTGGCCTTCCTGGTTCAGCCTGCACATTCTCATAGTCCTTCTGCCTTATTGCCCAGTTGTGATTAGTTAATTTCTCTTCCTTTAGATTTCAGTCCAGCTGTATTTTGAAAATGTTTCCTGATCCCACAAACTAAAGACTGATATGAAACAACATAGAGTAAGTGGCTTCTCTGTCAGGGAGTTTATCACAGTTGTAACCAAGGAATTGTGAAATTATGCCTATCTTTCCTACTAGGTTATAAACTCCCTGAAGTAGCATTCTATACATCTCTGTTATGGCTATTTTCCCCTCACTTAGTATAGAGTTGCGCAGAGAAGGCACTCAGTAAATACTGCTGAACTAACGCATGTACCTGACCCTGAATGGTGAATGGTGGACTTGATGGGGTTATATCCTGGCTTTGAACCTGACTCCAAACCATACCAACCTTCTTTCCAAAGACATCCAGGTCCAAAGCCTACTGGGGGTCTGAGAGGAGTGGGGGAGCAGAAGTTCAGCAGCCTGGGAGGTTCTGCCCGAAAGCAGGGGCTGGAAGCACTCACCTGTGAGGCCAGTCTCGGACCAGGTCCACGGAGGTGCTGTGTTCTCAACCCTGGCCGTCAGCCTCCAAGACCGGTACGTTTGTTCGCTTTTGAAGCTGCGAAAGCGCATCACTCTCTAGTCGGCGCGCTGCCTCGTCCAGCGCTGTGAAATTAAGAGAAGCAGACTTCCGGTGGCTAGCGGAAGCGGGGTCTG